GGGGTGCTGAGCCTGGGGGTGCTGAGCCTGGGGGTACTGAGCCTGGGGGTGCTGAGCCTGGGGGTGCTTCGTCTCGCCGGGAGCCACTCTCCCCACCGGAGCTGCGTGAGTGGTTTGCCAGGCGCTGGAGGCGTGCTGCTGGTGCTGGTGGTTCTTCGGCTGCAGAGGGTACTGCTGTCGCGCGTCCCGACGGTGCTCGTCCTTTGGGTGTTGGAGCTGCTGGGTCTGAGAGTTCTCCTGGAGCTGGTACTGCTGAGGGTGTTGTCGCTGAGCCTACCGCTGGCGGTCCGCCTGCGGGTACTCCTGGTGCTGCTTCTGGGGCCTCTGGTGGTGCTGCTGGAGGTGCTGCTGGAGTGGGTGCTCCGGCCGGGGCTGCTGGCGCTGTTCCAGCTGTTTCTAGCGTCGCCGCGCGGCCCCGACCTTACTTCGTTCCGCTCCTTCAGCAGGTTCTTGGTCTTACACCTTCTCCTCCTCCCGTAGAGGGTCCGCAGCCTGTCCAGTCACAGCCACAGCTACAGCCTGCCTCCCCTTTGCCTGCTCCTTCTCCCTACGCTGGTCCGACTGGAGGTCTTACTGAGCGTCGTGAGCCTGCGTCTCGTCCTGCGTCGCCTGTTCGTCCTGCGCGCGCTAGTGGTCGCGGTTCGCGTCAGCGTCCTCCTCCTGTCCCTGGCACGCACCGGATGTCGCTGCGTCCGTCCACTGCTCCTCTGCGTGCCCCTTTGCCTTCTCCTCCTGCTTCCTCTCTTCCTGCTCTTGCCGACCCGGAGTCGGACTCTCTTCGTGCTGCCAGTCCTACTGTCACGCGTCTCCTTGCTACTGCTGTCACTGACCCTTCCTTCGAGTCGTCTGCTGCGTCTGCCCTTGTCACTGAGCTTGTCGACTTTGCTACGCGCTGTCGTCTCGACTACGCTGCTCGTCTTGTCACTGAGTCTGAGTCCGCCTGTCCTCCGTCCGTCGGGGGTGAGTGTGCCCTTGGCACGGACGTCCTTGAGGACAGGCAGGAGGAGTTCCAGTGTCTGGCTGCCGCTTCACCTCGTCTCGCGTCTGTACTGCTAGCCCCTGAGGGAGACCCGGATGCACCAGACATCCCGACTCCGCGCTCTTACGCGGAGGCGATAGAGGGTCCCTACTCCTCTCAGTGGCAGGCAGCTATGGATGCAGAGATGGCTTCCTGGAAGTCCACAGGCACCTACGTTGACGCTGTACCCCCTCCTGGGGCGAACATCGTCAGTGGCATGTGGATTTTCAGGGTGAAGCGGCCGCCGGGTTCTCCGCCTGTCTTCAAGGCGCGCTACGTGGCTCGTGGCTTCAGTCAGCGGCAGGGGGTTGACTACTTCCAGACCTTCTCCCCCACCCCGAAGATGACCACTCTTCGGGTTCTGCTGCACGTTGCTGCTCACCGTGACTATGAGCTGCACTCTCTCGACTTCAGCACAGCTTTCTTGCAGGGCAGCCTGCACGAGGAGATCTGGCTGCGCCGCCCACCTGGCTTCACTGGGTCTTTCCCTCCTGGTACCCAGTGGAGTCTCCGGCGTCCAGTCTACGGTCTCCGCCAGGCGCCACGTGAGTGGCACGACACACTGAGGACTACGCTCGCGGCACTTGGGTTTGCTCCTTCTACTGCCGACCCGTCGCTGTTTCTGCGCACCGACACCTCTCTGCCGCCGTTCTACATCCTCGTGTACGTCGACGACTTGGTCTTTGCCACAGCTGACACTGCTGGACTCGCCTACGTGAAGTCTGAGCTGCAGAAGAGACACACGTGCACTGACCTGGGTGAACTGCGCAGCTACCTTGGCTTGCAGATCACCCGGGATAGAGCACGCCGCACCATTACCCTGACTCAGTCACACATGGTGCAGCAGGTCCTTCAGCGCTTCGGCTTCACGTACTCCTCGCCTCAGGCCACTCCTCTGCCTACTCGCCACTCACTCTCAGCTCTGCCTTCGGATGAGTCCGTAGAGTCGAGTGGCCCGTTTGCAGAGCTTGTTGGCTGCCTCATGTACTTGATGACCTGCACACGACCTGACCTCGCATACCCTCTTAGCATTCTCGCACGCTTTGTTGCTCCTGGGAGACACCGACCAGAGCACATGGCTGCAGCAAAGAGGGTGTTGCGCTACTTGTGCAGTACGTCGGGCATGGGGCTAGTGCTTGGAGGGCGCAGTCCAGTGGTCCTCACTGGGCACGCAGACGCTTCTTGGGCTGACGACCAGGCTACGCAGCGGTCGTCACAGGGTTACTCCTTCAGCCTTGGTTCCGGCTCTGTCTCGTGGCGGGCTACCCGCTCGTCTTCTGTTCTCGGCTCCAGTTGTGAGGCTGAGATCTACGCTGGGGCTATGGCTGCACAGGAGTTACGCTGGCTCACCTACCTGCTGACCGACCTTGGAGAGCCGCCTCGTTCTCCTCCAGTCCTGTACGTAGACAACAAGGCCATGCTGGCCTTGTGTCGAGAGCAGCGACTGGAGCACAGAACGAAGCACATTGCTCTCCGCTACTTTCTTGCTCGTGAGCTACAGCAGCGTGGACAGTTGCGACTTGCGTACGTGGCCTCTGAGGCCAACACTGCTGATGTCTTCACCAAGGCACTTGCGCCTTGTGATCATCAGCGTTGTTGCACGCAGTTGGGTCTTGTGCCTGTCTTGCCTCACTTGCTCTGCTCTTCACCTTGCTTGTACCTTCACCTATATATACTCTTGCTCTTGCTTGCTTGACTCTTGTATATCTCTATATATGATCTTGCATGTGAACTGGCCTTCTGGCCTTTGAACTTGTGCTCGGAATGTGTGGTGACTTTGTGATCCACCCTGAGCTTTGCTTTGCTTTGCTTGACTGGTCTTGTGACCCCTTGTTCTCCCCCACTTTGCCTATGGGGGTGTGTCAGAACATATAGCTTACTTATTTCTGTAGGCTATAGTGGGGTATCCCATAGGGGGTACAACCCAATTAGGGTTTCCTATTTGTACCCACTTCTTTTTCATAGTCATCCACTTCTCGTTCGTACTTTCTCAAATGGAGCCACACAGTCCCCTTCCATATTTGTCGCAATCGTGACAGTAGCCAGGCTGCGACAACGAAAGCTTCACTTGCGATTGCGATCGAAGAAATTGACCAGCAACCAAACTTTTGCGACAGTTTCCATGAAATCCCTAGGCTTCGCATCACACCGCGCGCGACTGACAGCCCTTGCAGTGTGGGAAAAACTTATGAGGCGACAACCGTTCAACTTTTAGCGACAGAATCATGTCGCCTGAAAACAGCACAGATGTGGGATACACACAATCCCCCTCCCTCCCCTTTCGGGCCCTGTTCTGACAGGGCGCGTATGAACTTTCTGGGTCGATTCGAGATAGGGTCTGGGTTATAACCAATCAATCAGCACCAGCCTTTCGTCTTCTAACCAATGGAATGAAGGCAACTAGGCCACTCACAAACACCATTTTCCCCACAAAAGTGAGACTTGAATTCGGATCAGCATCACCACCATCATTGGATCTCTCTGAATCTGCTTGTGCAATTCCATACTAGCCGTTGGAGATTTCTTTGTACACACAGCTGATAAATTGCTTCCTTGTCATTCTCCTCACCAGCACTTCCTCCAGTCATTTCATTTGTTCTTGTCATTCTCCTCTCCATTCACTTCCACCACACTCGTTACATACGGCGCCTGCCTGTCCTTCTTGTCTTGCTTTCGCACTAAATAACAAAATTCGCGAGTACAGGCGAGCCGAGCCGAGACACTGATGGAGGACATTAGTCTGTCCTTAGGGACATGTTTCGAGAGCCATCGGATTCTGTTCCCGCGCCGGTACTGTACATGCCGTTATGTACACTCTCCTTTCTGCGAATGTCGTGCGACACAGATACCCGCGTCGTCATGAATCAAGAACTTCCCAATTGCGACATTGCAGGGACAGTCAGTCTTACCCTCAGGAGCGAGGGAGACAGGGAAAGAGAGTAAAACGACAGCTTGAACGACCGCCAACCGACCAAAGCGACAAATGTCGCTCGCCAGCCGACCTAAGCGTTTAATGTCGCTCGCCGGTCATGACGGAAACATGAAGTCACCAGCCTGGCACTTATTGTCGCCGGTGCCTAACGAGGTGATGACCGTTCATTGCGATAGCTTGAAGCCGTCAGGAGGTGGATGGCACTAGTTGTCGTTGTCGCCTTGCCAGTGCCTGCCTGTCGAGGCGACGGCGTGTGGTGGTGGTGGACTGGTGCGCTCCAACATGCATCTCACGGCACGGCTTTTTCACGAATCCGGAGCCAAACGTATTTTCTTGCGGGACTCCTTAACGCGGACACCCTTACTGAACCGTTCTTCCACCGCCAGAGCGATTGTCAAGTCGTGTAGATGTGTTCGAGAATGTCACCCCTGCATCGCTCCTGCGAACCGCTACGCCAGGCGATTGGTTGTGCCGGTCAAGATGCGTTCAAGATGCCTGTCGTGATCGAACGGTCTAGAATGAGAGGCGTGGATGGGAGCATTTTTCGAGCAGCACAATTGTTGACGTGCGTGGGAAAGAGCCTTGTGGCGCGTGCTGAGTGGAACGAGAGACTCCCAGTGCCGTTCAAAGCACACAGCACGACGCCTAGAGTCAAAACAAAGCTTCCGCTCCTATCGCCTTCTTATGGTCGAGGCATCGCATTCTGGGTACTCGTTTCCAATCGTCGGTGTGCCTTTTATCAATACAGGACTGCTTGAGAGAGAGGATTAATAGCCGTTACCAGATCTCACTTTTGATCTGGCTGGCTGCCGATGATAGCTCTCTCCAAGTACAACCCAACTTCCGGTAGTAACGGCTCCGCTACTAGTTAGTAAGACTAGTAGTAATTGAGAAGACGCGGAACTCCGAGTTGCTCCTCAGCCGCACAAGCCCTCAGGCACAATTCCTCCTCTGGTATCCGATTGTGATCTGACGTTTCTGTGTAACAAGTGATCCGGTCGCGCTCCAACGCGAAAGCAAGTGTTTTTCCTGCTCAAATCGTGCACAGCCATGGAGGTCTGTGACTATATCGAGTTTGGCCTCCCCGGATCCGTGCTGTACCGGGGATTTCTCCTGTCCGACTCTCCTTCTTCCGCCACCACCGCTCCCAGCGCCGTTACCGCGCCCAGCAAGTCTTCGTCTTCGTGTCCACCGTCTTCTATCATTCAGTCTGCGCGAGATCAAGAGGACACCACGATCCTCCACCCGATCTCCACGTGGGATGACGTTCCGATTCGCCCTGCTGACTCAGCTTTATCGCACGGAGGTGGCGGCCTGGATGGGCTTATGGCGGGCGACATCATTTCTATGGTTTGCTGCACGCCGCGTAACTTGTGGGTGCAAATCGAGGCGGCTTATAACGAGGCGTGTCATCCTCTGCGCGTTCGCCAGGTGGACGGATTACCCGCTCATTACAGTCACAATCTCGATTGGAACCTCGGGATCATCCCGCAAACGTGCTCCTGCCGCCAAGGCGACAACGTCGGAGGGGATCCGCAGTCTGGATCATGCGACAAGGCATGCGACGCGGCAACATGCGCGACCATGTGCGACAATGCATGCGACAGCGCGAGCGACAAGCACACCCCTTTGGAGGTGATCGAAATCGGGCGCGGGGAGGTGCGAGTGGGGCAGGTGTATCTGGTGAAGCCGCTGCTTGCGTTCCTCGTCATCAGCCCCGATCTCAAGTCCTCCTGGAAAATCGTGGCCGTCAATTCGTTGGATCCGATGGCTGAGACGTCGCTGGATTCGCGAAGTGGTAACTCGGTTTGGTTGGAGGCGAAGCTGCGAGAAATCGTGGAGTGGCTCAAATACTACAAGTGTAACACCGTGTGTGAGTGAAGCCTCAACCTCCTCTCTAGCATGAGCAAGCGTTCTTTCATCTCAACCCCTCTCACCCTACTGACCCACCCCGATATTCCCGTTCCACCCACTTCCATTCTCTCTCAACCATTATCCATCCTGTTCCGCTTTGTCCTTCCCCCTCTGCCCCACCCCTTATCCCTTCTACCCTCTTTCTCTCCCTCTTCCACCCCAAACCCCCCAGTTGATCCGCCCAACACCATCGCGGGTCGTGAGAAGCCAGCGCCCTTGTATCGCACCATCGCCGCCATCAGCGCCGCCCATTCCGCCTGGACGCACTGCCACCGCCGCTGCAGCAGCAGCAGCAGCAGCGCCAGCAGCACCAACACTACGACCAGCAGCACGACCAGAGACGGCCTCCCACTGAAGGATCTGAGGCAGCTCGCAGAGCAAACGGCCTCCGCTGCTCTCACCAACGCCATCTTCGAATTCGCCCGCGTGCCCTTCGCCCAACCTGCCTCCGTCCCTGCCGCCGTTGCTGATGGTGCCGTTATTGCCGAGCCTGTGGGCCAGCAGGCTCGGAAGCGACGCGGGCTCCGAAGGTCAGGCTCGGAGACGGGCAGGTACTGTGGCATGCGAAAGAAAGAAATTCCAATTAGGATTGAGGTGCAAGCGCATGACGTCCGTGAAAGTCATGGTGGGGGAGGGTGGTGGGAGAGGAGAGATGAAGGACGGCGAGAGTGTGCTAATGCGGAACAACAGTAGGTGCAGAAGGAGCAGAAGCAGGGAGGGTTGGCTCGTATGAAAGTGCGGTGGCAGCAGCAGTGGCAGCAGCAGCAGCAGCAGGAGAAGCAGGAGAAGCATCCACAGCAGAAGGGGAAGCAGCAAGAGAGGAATCAGGCGCTGCAGGGAAAGCAGCAGCAGCAGAAGCAGCACCCGGAGGAGGGGAAAGAGGTGACGCAGCAGGTGAAGCCGCAACAGGAGAGGAGAATGACCAAGCACTGGCGATCGTCCTCTTCCTGTGATCTCGAGATCACTTTTGAGGCGCCTCAAGAGCGGAAACAGGTGCAGCAGCAGGGGAATGCGCAGCAGGAGGGCAGGAAGTTGACGAGGCATTGGCGATCGTCCTCGTCCTGTGCTCTCGAGATCCCTACGGGAATGCTGTTAGACTCTCCCTATCCCTTGCATCGCTCCTCCTCTTCCAACATCCGCCATTCCCGCACCTTGACCCGCTCCGTCTCTGCTTTCCTGCGCCAACCCCTCACGCCCTCCCCCCTGCCGCGTCCCCCCTTGCCGCCTCTCACCCCTCGCAGCCCCCCGCGTGCCTTCTCGCCCTCCTCGCACAGAGAGGCGGCCTCAGGATCTGTGTTTTGCTACCTTGATGAGTGTGATCAAATGGTGGATTCAGAGTGTAAAGCGGTGGATCAGATGCCCAAGGCCAGCCAAGCAGCCGTGCAGAGAGGCAGTCACGGCCGATCACACAGCAGCATCAACTTCAGCTTCAGTGAGAGCAACACCGACATTGGTGCCTGTGGTAGTGAGAATCCGAGCGCTATCCACAGCAGCAGCAGCAGCAGTGGCATCAACAGCAGCAGCCAGCGTCTAAATCGATTGACTACCCTGCACGTCTTGATCCCCCCTCCACTCTTAGGCGCTTCGCTGTCAACCCCACCCCAAGCAATTTCCGCCTCTTCTCCCGATTCCGCTTACCCTCCATTGAAACCTCCCCCGGGTGTAGCCCCTCCCTCGCTCTCTTCCCTGCCCTCTCCCTTACCCTCTCCCATGCCTGTTGGGAGAGGAGGGAGGTACGACTTCTGCCGATCAGTATCCGCTCACACAGAACGAGAGTCACAAACACCACCTGCCAGGGCTGGGAAGCTGGAGAGGTCTGGCAATTCGGGGAGGCTTGGCGTAGATGGGCTGTTGGGAATCCTGAAAGAGAGTACTGGAGTGGGCAAATCGCCAAAGGCAGGATCTGATCTTCCCGGAACCTCAAAGGGACGCAGCGGGCCGCCGAAAACGCCGAGAACTCCGAAAACACCAGGAACGGTGAGAACGGCCGAAGAGGCCAGCACCTTTCGCAAGTCGCCAACAGCAAGGAGCGAGCAGCCCAAGACCCCTGAAACAGGCAATGAGGTGCCCAAGACCCTCCCCAGGGCACGAACCGAGCAAGGGGTGATGACCCCAAGGGCGCAAAGGGAGCAGTTCAAGAGTCCCAGAGCTGCCATTGGTGGCGCTCCTGGCGCTGCTGCTGGTGGTGGTGGCGCTGGTGGTGTTGGCGGTGGTGGTTTTGCTGCTCCTACTGCTGGCGCTGTTGGTGGTGTTATGGCTGTAAGTCCAGGGGACGCAACACATGAAGAACCTATCGGAGGCAGTGCTGACTGCAACAACGCATCACCGAAGCAGACAGCGGGTGGCGGTGGTGGCGGTGGTGGTGGTGAGAAGAGCGGCAGCAAGAGCAGGATGCTGAAAGCAGTGCTGAAGCTGTTTGGGAAGAGCCGGAGTAAAAGCCAGAGCGAGAGCGAGAGCCAGAGCCACATGCAGAGCAAGAGCAGCCTGCAGAGTGCGGGTGAAGAAGCACCTGCATGCCAGATTGCCCCTTCCCTGGATTCCTCTTCTCTAAGTGAGCTGGATTCTGCTGGGTCTGCTTTCGGGGGCTCGTTTCGCTCTCCGACTGCTGCTGTTGGTGCTGATGCAGATGCTGGTGTTGAATTTGTTGATGACCTTGACGATCCTCACGCTGATGCAGGAGAGACAGAATTCGGCCTCCCGTACTCATCCAACGGTCTCCACCATGACGACGAGTTTTACACTGACAGCACCATGCCTCTTTCCGATCATCCCGACAGCAGCACGGACGTTTTCGCTCGCTTCAAACGTGCTCTCTCTGACAACACCGAGCGTCCCCTGCCTCTTTCTGAGGACGCCCTCTATCCGAGCAGCAGCCCAAGTCTTCACGGCAACACGGACGTGTTGACTCGCTTCAAACGCGCTCTCTCTGACAACACTGAGCGACCTCGGCACGACTCCCCACATCACAGCCCATATGATGCTGCTGCTGTCTCGTCCTATGCTGCCTCCTTTCAGCACTCCACACACACCGCCTCTCCATCTCCAAAGCCAGATGCATATGGAATCCCCGTGCACGCTACTCCCGTGTACCCTGCTCCATTGTCCCGTCAGAAGCATCGCAGCAGCGTTTACAATCCTGGCAGCAGCAGCAGCGCCTGCAGCAGCAGCGTGTGTAGCAGCAGCAGGAGCGTGTACATACCTGGGGGCAGCAGTGGCGATATCAGCAGCAGCAGCGTGGGGTGCAGCGACGGCATGAGCATTAGCAGTCACGGCAGCAGTAGCAGCAGCAGAAGGGCATCCCAGGCGCTCAACCCCACGCACACGTCCCCTTTTACCACGCAGTAAAGGCAGCGCATGGACAGTGGACGCGGGGGAGCAGGAGGAGGAAGAGGAACGCTGGGGCTCTCACCGCCCAAAATCATTCGGTCGCACAGGAGGAGCCGGTCGCTCTCGACACTGCAGCGTGCCTGTGGCTCGAGTCACAACCAACAAGCGTTCGGCTCTTCTAGCGATCTCGATCTGCAGCTGCAAGAAGCACTTGAATCAGATGACCCACAGGAATTGCAGGGGCTGCAGAAATCGCAGGGCGTAGCAGTAGCAATGGCAGCAGTTGGAGGAGCGGCAGCAGCAATAGCACGGGAGGGACAGGAGGCTCAAGCAAAGCCGGTGCCCCGGCTCCCTCCCAAGAGCCCCAGGGTCCCTCGCAACTCACACGTCCGTGCAGACTCGCCAGCCCACCAGGGGACGTCTGAGTGGGGGCGCAACTCTCCCCGAAATCCCTCTCCAAATTCACCCCAGAAGTCGACGAGAACGTTTGGGTGGGCCCAGAAATTGCCAGGAAATTCGCCACAGAAATCGCCCCAAATGGCCCTCAAGGATTCACCAGGCGCTCAGCATTCACAGCCTGAGGGGGGCAGCTGTTCCTCTGCGCTCACGCGAAGGCAGCGAGCAAAAGCTGTTGCCTTGGAATCGGCTGAGAGCTGCAAGCAACCACCTGCTGCTTCTGCTTCTGCTGACTCAGGAAATGCTGGTGGTGGTGCTGTTAATTCGTGTAGTGCTGCTGGGGGAGAGCAGTTGCTGCTCCAGCAGCAGGGACTGGAGCAGCAGCAGGAAGAGGTGGGAGAAGAGCCGCTGCTGCAGCTGAAGCTGCCTCTGAAGCTGCAGAAGCGATTGAAGCAGGCAGCACAAGGGCAGAAACTGCAACACGAGGCACAAGGGCAGGGGCTGTGGTTAGCAGAAGGACAGAGTGTGAAAGAGAGGCTGCAGCAGGAGGTGGAAGGGTAGGGGCGTGTGGGGCATGGGGGCTATGAGGCAGTGAGAGCCTCAGCAGTAGCACAACTGGGCCCTCTCATTTGCCTCACCCCACCCTGCCCTTCCCCAGCTGACAGCACCCCTTCCCCAGTTGATGCTACCCCTGCACCAGCTAATGCCTCCCCATTCCGAATTGACTCCTCTCCTTCACCAGCTACACCTCTTTTTGGCCCCTCGGCAGCAGTAGCAGCAACAACAGAATCAGCATCTGGAGAGATATCAAAGAAGCAGCTGCAGCTGCTGGTGATGCCGATACTGCTCTCACCGCTGCTGCTTCCATCATAGCAGGAACAGCAGGAGCACGGAAAGAGGGTGTGGGAGGGTTCGTGGGTGGATATGTGCACGGTTTTGAGCCGCCTCAGAGCCCGGTTGATTATGGGTATGTGGGTCGATACGCAGTCAAGGAGGTGAGTTTGGATGAGCAGCAGCAGAGGCAGCAGCAGCAGAAGCTGCAGCAGAATATTGAGGAGGAGTGGAGGGGGATGGGTGAGAGGGGTGTGGAGCTGAAGGAGGAGAGAAAGGAAGAGCAGGAGGCGGAGGAGGGATCTGCTCAGAAGCACCACGCAGAAAGTGCACGAAAAGGGAACACGATTTCATGGATGGACTTGAGCTACAACTTCTCGACTGCTTTTGAGTCGACTCAAAAGGAGGCAGAGGAGAGGTGTGCTCCGAAGCAACATACGACAGCGGCACGAGACAACACGGCACGAGAGGAAAGCACGATTTCATGGATGAACCTGAGCTACAACTTCTCGATTCATCCTGGTGACTCACAGGATTCCAAAATCGTACGTTCTTATATTGAGGAGCTTGTTGCCGGTGGTCGTTCTGACAGCAAGGAGGATGCCGGTGGTGGTGTGTGTGCTTATAACGAAGCCCTTGCTGAGTGTGTGTATGGGGATGATCCCTTCTCGATTGCTCTGAGGGAGAGCATTTTTAGAAAGGAAGAAGGGAGCATGGGAAGTGGCTGTAGCAGAACAGCACACAGGAGCAGCAGTGTGGAAAGGAGCATGCAGGGGATGGGTTGTATCTCTCCTGAAACCCATGACGGCAAGGATCGCGACAACACCGCAGGAGTGCAAGTGTCGCATGCGAACGCACCTTTGAACGCGCCCTTGAACCGACCTTTGTTCCGACCCTGCGGCGCCGTGACAGTATTGGGAGCATGGGGAGTGTGGGCAGTGCAAACTTGGTGTGTGAGCGCATCCTGAGTGTGTGTGATGTATCACCGGTGCCCATCATCCTCTCCTCCCACCTGGGCAGCCCAGGGTGGACTCGGCGGGCTGCTGCTTCTGCTGCTGCTGCAGACGGACTCGATGTTTTCTCTGCAGGCAGCAGTGATGCGTACGCAACAGCGGCAGCGGCAGGTGCACAAGGAGGAAGGGGAGAAGTGGCAGCAGATGCATGGTCTGCATCATCACTTGCAGTTACAACTGATGTAGCAGCGGCAGGAGAAGGAGCAGCAGCAGCAGGAACAGGGCGAACAACCATGACTGCTGCCCCCCAGTTGCCGAGGAGACCAGCAGTTCCACGTATGGGTGCTGCTAGAAGGTTCTACCGAACCTCCAGCTGCCCTGATATTGACAACATGCCATCGCCAGCTGTGCAGCCTCAAGCTATATCAGCAGCAGCGGCAGCAGCAGAAGCAGCAGCAGCAGCAGCAGCACCAGAAGCAGCATTAGAAGTGGCAATGGCAGGAGAAGAATCAGCAGTAGCAGAAGTGGCAGTTGCAGGAGAAGAAGTAGCAGCAGCAGCAGCAGACGAAGGGGAGGGAGGCAAGGAGGGGCAGGAGTCACTTGAGTCTCGGTTGAGGCGATGGCATGAGAGCATGGGTGCCTCATCTTCCTTCTCCCTTCCCCATGATGTCACTTCCACCGCGGGCCTGTTTGTGCCCGGCCTGCCCCACTGGACCAAGCGCTCGCTCCCTCGCTCGCTGCGCATCTCCCGCTCGCTGCTCTCCTTCCAAGAGAGGGCCCTGCTGGAGCACCGCCAAGAGACTGCACTGTTGCAGGGCATGGCTGGCAGATTAGCAGGGAAAAACGACGGCAAGAAGGACGGTGAAAACGATCCGTGGAGTGAGAGGAATGGGGAGAGTCACGAAGCGATTAACGAGGGGAGCAAGGAGGAGAGGAACAAGAGGCGAGTGAGGAGGTGTGCTCGAACCAACAGCGACGGAGGTGTAGGCTCCCTCCTGTCAGCAGCAGCGGCGGCGGTGGCAGCGCCGGTGTCCCCCGGAGAGTCGATCCGAGCGGCCGTGGCCGTCTATTCTGCCTCAAGGGAATTCTGGCGTCCCCCCTCCACCCCCAAGCCTGTCATGGAGTCTCAACTGAAGCAGGCCAAGAAGTGCCTGCCGATGTACTCCCCCCCTGTGCCGCCCATCGGCCTGGAGAAGCTCATGGAAGGCGGGACTGGGGCAGGTGGGACTGGTGGGTTTGCTGGGTTTGGTTCAGGAGGTGGGTGGGGGGTGGGTGCAGGCTGGTAGGGTGCGGTGGAGAGAGCTGGGGGGGAGAGGAAGGAGGGGACGGGAGAGGCGGGGTGGCTGGGGTTTGAAGGGTTGGTGGATGTGGCACAGGGGATGATGTGGGGGAGAGGAGGGAATGGAGGTGGGGAGGGGGCGAAGGAGGAAAAAGAAAATATTTTTGGGTACAGCTTTAGGGAAAAGTATGGGGGATCAGGACGAAGGGGGAGAGGCAGTGGAAGGAGAAGAGGAGGGATTGGCTGCAGGAGAGGAAGGGAAATGTTTTGAGAAAGGTGGTGAGGAGGGAGATAGTGGGGGAATCGCAGGAGAGGGCGGAGCGAAGGGAGGCGGGTGACATAGCATCATGTTTTTTTTTCTGGGGGGGGTTTATACTAAGACAACTAATAGACATAAGGAATCAAGAAACAATTTTATTATCAATATACGGTGTTATTTTCTTTGGGCGTTGATGACGTCAACGTTTTTTGGAAAGTTTGATGTGTTATTAATTTCACCTTTGTGGCTCTAGAGTTTTTGCAGCTGAATGTATGTCGAGAATGAATGAACCTCGCATAACGCGCCAATAAGACCCGATACTGCCAAGCCCCGTTGACCACGAGTTTCCCCAAGCCGCATCATCAGCCGACTTTCTCGTGAAAACTTCCACCGTTCGTTTTTCTTACGAAATAGCTGCCGACCTAGTGAATGATCAGGCTAGTTACCATGGAAGGGCATAACTTCAAAGGTATCGCATAACGATTTTGCGCTTGAAACAAATGAACAAAGATAAAAATGAACGAATGAACATTCACGGACGCATCACGAACCCATCATTTTTAATCCATGTAGTGGGTTTCACAACATGTCGAGAAGGGTAAACCTTCTCCAGACAATACCCACCACCCCCAACATCCACATTCCGACTCGGAAGAATTCTCGATTCTTCTCCTACACCACACCTTTCCCCACTTCCCAACCAAACCGGAGAGATTTGCTCCAAACCCTTGTTTGGGGATTCGTTGTTGCTAACGTGGCCACCATTTGCTCGAGTGGTTCTCAAATTCAGTGATAATTGCTCGAGTGGCCTCGCCTGTGGATTCTCAACGTCTTTTTTTAAGAATGAACATTACCCTTCAGGGGTATCTATCCTCGAAACTTGTGTGCTGGTTATTGCGCGATCTTTTATATCCGAAATTTATGTTCGTGACCCTAGATGACCGCGCCTGATTGGACGCTCATATAATCGACCAATCCTGCGCGGCCATTAATGGTCACGCGCATCATATTTTAATGCCCGATCATATATTTCCGCAGTTATAAACTGCAATGCCCTTAATGACCGCGCATGATTGGTCAACCATATGCGTGGTGCCTTTTTTTGAATTGCGCGTCCAATCAGGCGCGGTCATATAGGGTCACGAACATAGATTTTGGATACTGAAGATCGCACAATAACCAGTACAGAAGTTTCGGGGATAGAAACCCGTGTAGGGTAATGTGACGGGTTAAAAAAAGCCAGTGGGAATCCCCTAGCAAGGCCACTCGAGCAATTATCACTGAATTTGAGAACCACGCGAGCAAACGGTGGCCACGTGGGCAACGCTGAATCTCCAAACAAGGGTTTGGAGCAATTCTCTCACCAAACCGCTTCAGAGGTCTGGCCGGAATGCCATGTATAGATGTAGCCAAAGCTTCATGAGAAGTATTTCAACTCAGCAGCAGAAGCATCTTCAGTCTGAAAGTATAGGCTGCTCTGGTTCACGGGTCCTGTTTCTTTTCGTTCGGTGCTTACTCTTTCCTGTTCCGTCAGCAATGGAACTTCGCCGCCTCTTCCCCGTCTTGGTCCTGCTCCTTCTCTCCGCCTCGCTTCTTCCGCTCGCTTCCTCCCGAGAATTTTCGGGAGCTCGTCTCCAGCTCAGGCGGAGCTTCGGCTCGGACTTTCCTGTTTTGCGTCTGCACTCGGACAGAGGCGGAGAGTTCTCCTCCGGCCTTCTGCGAGCCTACTGTCGGGCACGAGGCATCCGCCAGACCTTCACGCTTCCGGACTCTCCACAGCAGAATGGGATTGCTGAGCGCCGCATCGGCATTGTCATGGACGTCGCCCGTACGTCCATGGTGCATGCGGCTGCCCCCCATTTTCTGTGGCCGTTTGCGATTCGGTACGCCACACATCAGATCAATCTTCAGCTCAGGGTCTCCAGACCGGAGACCTCCCCAGCTTTGCTGTGGACGGGGAAGGTTGGCGATGCGTCGGCGTTCCGTGTCTGGGGATCTCGGGCGTTTGTCCGCGACTTGTCTGCGGACAAGCTGTCCCCTCGTGCTGCTCCTTGCGTCTTCCTGGGTTTCCCCCCTGACGCACCTGGGTGGCAGTTTTACCACCCCACCTCTCGTCGTGTTCTGTCCTCCCAGGACGTCACATTCGACGAGTCGGTTCCCTTCTACCGGCTCTTCCCCTACCGCACTCCGTCCCTCCCCCCCCCGCCCCTCTTCCTGGTCCCAGGTCCCCCCCCGGTAGACCCCCTCCCCCCTCAGGGTCCTGCCCCTTCAGGTGTGTCTCAGGTAGACGCGGTCGAGCTTGTCGAGGTCACTGGTGACTCTGGTGCTGCTGCGGGTGCGGAGCCTCGCGGTGCTGAGACTGGGGGTGCTGAGACTGGGGGTGCTGAGCCTGGGGGTGCTGTGACTGGGGGTGCTGAGACTGGGGGTGCTGAGCCTGGGGGTGCTGAGCCTGGGGGTACTGAGCCTGGGGGTGCTGTGACTGGGGGTGCTGAGCCTGGGGGTGCTGAGCCTGGGGGTGCTGTGCCTGGGGGTGCTGAGCCTGGGGGTTCTGCGTCTGGGAGTGCTGCGCCTGCTGCTTCTGTTCCTGGTGGTTCTCCAGACCGTTCTTCGCGCCGCGAGCCGCTCTCTCCTCTGGAGCTGCGTGAGTGGTTTGCCCGGCGCTGGAGGCGAGCTGCTGGAGCCGAGGGTACTGCGGGTGCTGGAGGTTCCGTTGCTGCCGAAGGAGCTGGTACCACGGGTCCCGGAGGTGCTCGTACTGAGGGTACTGGAGCTGCCGGGCCCGGGGGTGCCTCTGGAGCTGGAGCTGCTGCGGGTGCTGGCGCTGAGGCTACGACTGTCGGTCCTACTGCGGGTACTTCTGCAGCTGCTGGTGGTGCTGGAGTTGGAGCTGCTACTGGTGCTGGTGCTGCCTCTGGAGGTGTTGGTCCTGTCCCTGCTGTCTCTGGCGGTGCTGCGCGGCCTCGGCCGTACTTCGTTCCGCTCCTTCAGCAGGTTCTTGGTCTCCCGCCTTCCACTGGTCCTTCTCCTCCCGTAGAGTGTCCGCAGCCTGTCCCGTCACGGTCACAGTTACAGCCCGCCTCTCCTCTGCCTTCTCCTTCTCCCTACGCTGGTCCTACTGGAGGTCTTGCTGAGCGTCGTGAGCCTGCGTCCCGCCCTGTGTCGCCAGTCCGAGCTGCTCGCCCTAGTGGTCACGGTTCGCGTCAGCGTCCTCCTCCTGTCCCTGGCACGCACCAGATGTCTCTGCGTCCGTCCACTGCTCCTCTGCGTGCCCCTTTGCCTTCTCCTCCTCAGTCTTCTCTTCCTACGCTTGCCGACCCGGAGTCGGACTCTCACCGTGCTGCCAGTCCTACTGTCACGCGTCTTCTTGCTACTCTTGTCACTGACCCTTCCTTTGAGTCCGCTGCTACGTCTGCCCTAGTTGCTGAGCTGGTCGACTTTGCTGCTGCGTGTCGTCTGGACTACGCTGCCAGTCTTGTTGCTGAGTCTGCTGAGTCTGCGTCTGCTGCGTCTGCGTCTGCCTGTCCTCCGTCCGTCGGGGGTGACTGTGCTCTTGGCACGGACGTCCTTGAGGACAGGCAGGAGGAGTTCCAGTGCTTTGCCGCCGCTTTGCCCCATCTCGTGTCCATGCTTGTTGCCCCTGAGGGAGACCCGGATGCTCTAGACATCCCGACCCCACGCTCTTACGCAGAGGCGATGGCCGGTCCCTACTCCTCTCAGTGGCAGTCAGCCATGGACGCAGAGATGGCTTCCTGGAAGTCCACAGGCACCTACGTTGACGCTGTTCCCCCTCCTGGGGCGAACATTGTCAGTGGCATGTGGATCTTCAGGGTGAAGCGGCCGCCGGGTTCTCCGCCTGTCTTCAAGGCGCGCTACGTGGCTCGTGGCTTCAGTCAGCGACAGGGAGTTGACTTCTTTCAGACCTTCTCCCCGACCCCGAAGATGACCACTCTTCGGGTTCTACTGCACGTCGCTGCTCAGCGTGACTACGAGCTACACTCTCTTGACTTCAGCACTGCTTTCCTGAAGGGCCGCCTGCACGAGGAGATCTGGCTGCGCCGCCCTCCTGGCTTCACTGGGTCGTTCCCTCCCGGTACCCAGTGGAGCCTCCGGCGGCCAGTCTACGGTCTCCGCCAGGCGCCGCGTGAGTGGCAAGACACACTGAGGACTACACTTGCGGCTCTTGGGTTTGCTCCTTCTACTGCTGACCCGTCGCTGTTTCTGCGCACCGACACCTCGCTGCCGCCGTTCTACATCCTCGTGTACGTCGACGACTTGGTCTTTGCCACTGCGGACACTGCCGCACTCGCCCACGTGAAGTCCGAGCTGCAGAAGAGACACACGTGCACAGACCTGGGTGAACTGACAAGCTATCTTGGCTTGCGGATCACCCGGGACAGAGCACGCCGCACCATTACCCTGACTCAGTCACACATGGTGCAGCAGGTCCTTCAGCGCTTCGGCTTCACGTACTCCTCGCCTCAGTCCACTCCTCTGCCTACGGGACACTCGCTCTCAGCTCTGCCTTCGGATGAGTCCGTAGAGTCGAGTGGTCCGTATCCAGAGCTTGTGGGCTGCCTCTTGTACCTGATGACTTGCACTCGACCTGACCTCGCATACCCTCTCAGCATCTTAGCACACTATGTTGCTCCCGGCCGTCACCGGAAGGAGCACATGGATGCAGCTAAGAGGGTGTTGCGCTACTTGTGCAGTACGTCGGGCATGGGGCTAGTGCTTGGAGGGCGTGAGCG